GAATCCCTTGCAGATGTTAAGTTAAGTCACCTGTTTGTTAACTGAATCTGGCTTCCCATTGACTTTGCTTGTGAGAAGATCACAAAAGGGTTACACATGGGCCCAGGACACTACAACCATCATAAAGATGAGTCAGTGGCCTAGCACCTGGATTTGGATCACGTGACTGTGGGGAATGATGCCAGGGTCGTAAGTGTGAAAAATGGTCCTAAGTCACTTTTTTTCAGTGCCGTTGTAAATGGTAAGTGTCAGCCTCCAAGATTCCTTCTTCTGCTTAAATCTTTCCAGCTGCCATAAAAAAAAGGGGGGGGAGGAATAATTGGGCCTCGTGAGGGGAAGGGTGCTGGAGGTTGGAGTTGTGTGAACTGTAACAGTTGGGATGCTTTGCTGCTTACTGGCCAAGGTCAACCGTCTTGGCATACCAGATGTGTGAGATGCCACCTGACACTATACACACCTCAGACTGGATGTCCATTTTGAATTGTTGGAAGTGGGTCGGGACTTGGGATAACTTGCTATGTGTAATTTCCGCACCTTTTATCTCGGATCTTGCCTTTCCTTTGTTGCTACCACTTCTTATTCAGTAAAAGTATATTTCTCTATAAAAACTGGAGCCTAAAGTTTTCAAGTTGCTCAAGGGTTGAGCCATTCAACACAGATGTCCTGATGGTGGGTTTGGTTAATGAAGAAAGAAATGAATTAAAACAACTGAGCCATCTTTCTATCTGTCTGTCTGTCTGTCACTATTCAGCCCTGCCTGCCTGCCTGCCTGCCTGCCTCTTTCGCTTTGGCCATCCTATTCTGCTTGGCTTAGGATTCTAATTAGCGCCAACAATTGAGGTTTCGTTAATGAGCTCGCTATAACAAGAACTAATGAGCGTCTTTCACTGGGGCTGTTAATTAGCACTTCAAAAGCTCTGTTTGGCTTGTGGAATTAGCTGTACATCATCCAGCAATCAAGTGTTTTGTGACAAACCCAACAAGGTTTTTCTGAAGCAAGCCTGAATGGGCGGGGTGCTTGTAAATTGCTGTTGCACACAATCTCTTCAGTGTGTGTGCATGTGTGTGTGTGTGTGTGTGTGTGTGTGTGTAGAAAGCAGAATCCAGTCTCTTTTTTTTTTCCTCTCCTTTTGTAGGAAAAAAACACACCCAAAGGATCCATGGAGAGGTAAAATTCTATCCTCCACATCCTGCATTTTGTATCTGAATACTAAAGCCAGTTTTGAGGGGAATTAAAATACGATCTGCAAAGCAAAAACAATAGCTGTCTCTCGTTTAGACCTAACTCTTCTTGGTGGAGGTATTTCTTTCTTTAAGAGGTTTGCAGCTCCTCTTCCACCTTTTGAGTGAAATAAGGGCGCACAAGATCGGCCATTTTTAGAACTTCTCCCCACTCGAAGCTGTGCAAGAAATTGGGCACCAGTTTCTAGGAGCATGAATTCAACGAGTGTTCTGGGTTGGCCCTGATATAGAGATTGCTACAAAATGCAAGGACTTGCCTCTTTTCCCTTCCTTTCTTTCTTTAAATTGGCTACATGGGGTAATCAATGAAAGCATGGGAGATGGATGGGTCTCCAACCTCAGCAGAAGTCAAAAGAAAAGCTACCTACAAGAGGTAAAGACTATCACTTGGTCCTTCCAACCATCACAGTCCAGATGTTTGAGAACTACAGCTCAAGGGATGGAGGAACATATCTACCAGCTGGCTGAGACATCTGGGAGTGCAGTGCCCACATATTTAAAGGACTGCTGGTTGGATGCAAGCAATGTTAGCAGAACTTCTAAGCGACGGTTGTTAAACCTACTTTTAAGATTTGTGGTCTTTCAACACCCAGAATTCCCCAGCCAGAATTCTGGCAGCGGAAGTCCACCAGTCTTAAAGTTGGCAAGATTGGACACCCCTGCTCTAAGAGATGAGAAGGATGGCTGTTGATATAAGTATTGTCCACTAGATGGTGGTAGGAAGATTGCAAAAACAAACAAACAAACCTGAGCCCATCGGCACAAAAAATATATATATGGAAATAATTGGAAAGGCTGCCCAGATTTCTCAAGGCGTCCACCTGTAATTCACAACTTCAGCCCAGTTGGAAGAGGATTGGCTGCCCACAGTGTGCCAGGAGCACAGAAGGCCTGCCGGATGGTGCCACACTACTTGAGAATTCAACATGCTGCAATGATGATTCTTGTACCTGAAGCAGATCCATGTTCCTGCCTGTCAGGGTTTGTGCTTTTAGGCACACGCAATCAGAATTAGATGTAATGTGAATTTAGTGGCTCGTCTCCTCTCCTCTCTCCTTACCTTTCCTTTCCTTTCCTTTCCTTTCCTTTCCTTTCCTTTCCTTTCCTTTCCTTTCCTTTCCTTTCCTTTCCTCTCTCCTTTTCTTTCCTCTCCTCTTCCTCTTCCTTTCCTTTTCTCTCCTCTCTCCTCTCCTCTCTTCTTCCTTTTCCTTTTCGTCTTCCTTTCCTTTCCTCTTTCTTTCCTTTTCTCTTCCTCTCCTTTCATTTCCTCTCCTCTCTCCTTT